AGTAGTTCCTACCTGATGTATTTTTGGAAGGAATTCAATGAAAAAATGTAAATTCTTGTCAAGCATTAAATAATGTTAACTTAATTACTCTGACATATCTTATTTCTCATGTAATTTAATATAAGAAAAACTAAACACATACTTTTTATCATAACCCCTCTACAAGCACACATACAAATATATTTGTGCATAAATCCCAATTTTATTTTATAAGAAAACATGATATTTTCAAATGACTGAAAACACCTTTGTTCATATAAGCCTAGGTTAGAGTTTTCAGCACAGAGAAAAATGATCCTTACTTCTATATCTCTAATGAAATTTAAAAATTAGTGCATTGTATGAATTCATTTGACCAACATGTGAGCCTGTTAGGTTTCAATAAGCAGGGTCACATTAAGGAAAATAGCTTCACTTCATATCATCCAAACAGAGTTAGAAACATTTTTTTAAACCTGGTGGATGAATATATATGATCCTCAATAAATAGAAAAGTTTAAGAAATAACTGTCAATTTTGCATCTTTACACATTAAACTGTAAACATTTCTATTATAGAAATCTCAGTGTTTCTTCTTAAACTTCAAAATATATAAATTCTTTCAGAGAAAAGTTAAAGGATTTTACTTAGCAATCTGATTTTTCCCAAGTTTCATAAAACTTTGATTTTTAAAAATGTATACTAGAGTTTACTCAGACTTTGCATATATTATACTATCCTAAAAACAATGTCAAATTACAAACAAGACATTTAACTGACAGTTCATTTTATTTTTCCATATAAGAATGAATCACATTTGCATGATAGGTTTCCCACAAGATCTGCAGCTCTCCCTGTGGCTTGTTAATATGTTTGCAAATGGCATTGCACCTGCTTTTATACAAACATCTTTGATGCCTAGGATATCCAATGCGTCAGGGCATTGTCAGAAAAATAGCTGCATGACAAATAGCTTAAATGGATGTAATGAGATATGCTCCATGATTGAGCACCGCACAGTAACCAGATAGTTCTCAGAGGAGAAATGCCTCTTCATGATCCATGTGCCTTCCAAACTTTGCCAATCTGATGTGCCCTTTGGCCATCTGGATTATCGGATGGATTTCTCACATACCTCGATGAGTACTTGTCTATTCTATCTCCTGACCTGTTCACACTTTGAGGGAAAGTTTAAACATCTGACTCTAAGATTCTCAATTTCCCCTCATGCATACATGAATGAGTAGACTAAGTCATGAATTCAAAGAATCTTTTTCGATTATTGGTTTAATATGAATTAATTTTTTATCACAAACGTTTCACAATTTTGTGTTTTCACCACCTTCGAGTTACATTAGTTAACTTTTTTTTAAACTATTATTGTATTCCAGAGTGGTATTTGTTGTTGAAATTTCCATTTGCCGCAATCCCAAAAGCACCATTAAGAGAAATTTATGAATGTAATTAAAGAAAAATCCTTTTAAATGCTGACAGTTTTATGGACATTAGTTTTGGCAGGGCTTATTCAATAAGATAGTTATTCTTTACAATTAATAAATCAAGTCAGAAAACTTTTTGGTTAAGTGTTTTTAGTAAAGCTGATATCTCTCTCTAGTATAAAGAAGTGACTCTAGAGACCTCATAGACCAGATAGACTGAAGTAGAAATCTCACTCAAAAGTGGAAGCAAATTGAGTAAGGACAGCTTTGGACAGTGACATCACTGGGTACAGTTTGTCTGGTTTGGCTGGTACTCAGCTTAAATGCTTCTTCCTCTGGGAGGTTGCCTCTGAACTTCCCAAGCCCATTTAGTTTCATTCTTTATTATATTTTGCCTCTGTCATTTTTATTTATAGCACTTCTTATATCTCTTCAAATACATGTAACTCTCTTTTTTTTAGGGTCAGAGCCTTTAGACTTAAAGGGATGTGGATTTTATATCTGTATCTTCAATATCTTATATATCTGGCACATAGTACAATAAATGCATGCTGGTTAAATAATAATAAGGTTCCTGAAGCATATGATGTGGAGTTCCCTGCTCTAAAAAGGAATTTGTATGAAGCATTCAGGTTTTGAGTCTGATCAACAAGGGTGCACAGAGAAGTGGCTCCTGGGTAACAAAGACTTGGAAAGAAGGCACCTGAGTTTCTGATTATCACCTTGTGATCCATGTTCCAACTCAAGGAAAGATGAAATTAGCATTGCCCAAGGCAAGAATGATAAAGTTGAGAATAAAGGTATTCAGAACTCATTAAAACAGAACTGGCACTAATTATTTTCTGGTACCACAATATACCAACCTGACGGCTATACCAGCATTTCTGCTTCCCAACTGAATTGATACCTAAAGATGCCTTGTTACTGGGATGATGTCACTTTCAATGAAAGAACTTTTATTTATGTGAATTCTGAAATCTCAAATTAAATATGAAAATATTTGTTTTCAAAGCAACAGAAATAATTTTACATATTTAGTTAGAGCAACCTGTGAGGGTAAATAGTGTCTAGAACTAGTGAGATCAGCAGAAACAGTTTATTTGCTAACATACTCAATATTACAAACAACCCTTCATTTGTCACCACTATCTATAAGCATATGTCCTCTCTTCAACTTTGACTTTTTGCCCATCCCCTTTCCTCCACAGCAATCTCTTCTGCTGGAGTCAATATTCACACAGAGAGAACTCATTGCCTATAAGGCTTTACAGCAAGATTCACTATGTTCTTAGTCTTGAGTTGCATATAAATGATCTATATAATGTTTTTGTACTTTTTACCAACTGGTTATTCAATTATTTTAAATTTTTAATCGGCCTTTTTATACATATCTTGGTTCTTTAGCAAATTATTATGCTATAAGGTGCCAGTGTCCTCAAGACTAGAGGTCCTAAGGAAAAGCCCAGTAGGATGGTGACTGGTTAATTATCACGTTCAGCACTGATCATTAACATTGATATAGCAATTTCTGTTTACTATAACCATGGCCATCCACATGTGGGATCTGAAGCTACCCTACCCGCACCACCCCTGAGCTACCTCCTGCATCAGCAGTCACTCTGTTCCATAACACCTGAACTGAAGCCTCTGTCCTCAAAGCCTTCAATCACCACAGTGCAGCGGGGCAAATCCCTATCCACTATGGCCAGTACCCATCATCCTCAAAGTGACTGTGGATGCTTGCTGTTCATCCTTACCATCATCAACAAAGGAGGAAAGTATCAACCAACCACGTATCCTTCACAACATACAGTTTACACTCTACTGCTTGACCATGACCATAAATTTCTGTACTTCCTAGCCCGTATGACTACAACTGCCTTTCCATGCCAACAACTTCTTTGATTACTCCCATAATGACTACTCATTGATTCCCTTGAGATAAAACACCATTTCTTCACCCACCTTACATTCCAGAAAGCTTCATTTGAATATTAACCTCAACTTCATTGCCCTTAGGAGTTTTCATCACCTCAAATTTAAAAATCCCAAACCTGCAGGAGTTGAGCTGTCTGTCTCCTTTTTCTATAATCTAATACCGTGGTGATAGAGCACTAATACATAAGACCACACAACAGAGAGATTCAATTCCCATTTAAATATGTAATCACTAATCACTAATTAACCCTAAAACTTCCAGCACAACTACTAAATTGACATCTCCCAGATATAACAAAGACATCTACTGTAGAACTCAACATTTCCAAACTTAATCTTGGAAACATTTCTCATAAATTTGTTCCTTTCCCATATTGTTTTTCAGTACAAGGGCCCACATTTTATCTAAATATGAAAACTATAAACTCTGCAGTTATCCTAGGAATTTTCTCTTTCTAACCTTCAACCTCAGTTCTTCTCAACTACTTATTGATATCATGTTTTAAATATCTATCATTTCTATCCTATATCTTGCTTGGCAATGGTATTAAAAAACTTACAATTTTATATTTATCAGTATTAATACCTGATTATCATCTGTAAGCTTACTAGACTCTAAGCCCCATTGAACCAGGGTTTTTTAGTCCCTTTTTACTCATTATTTTATCTCTAGAATGTTGCAGTTTTCTTTACGTACAGTGAGCATTACATAAATATTTTCTGAATAAATAGGTGAACAAATAAACAAATACAAGTAAATGTATGTATCACAATAAACATATCATATATGAAGCAAGTATCCATAATCCTTATCATGTAAGAGAAAATCAGAAGCTTAACGAAGGTCAATTAAGCAGAAAATTATGAGTTTGGAAATAAATTTAGGCCATCTCCATTTAACTAAGTTCAACTCTGAAGAATCTTTCCACATTAGCACCATGATGCATATCAACCTCATACAAAACCTTTTTATTTTCCATTGTATTTTTAATTTAGACTCAGAAGAGTGTGACCCATTCTTAATGTAATTATCTATGGGTATAGAGAATCATTCCATGGAAGGCATTTTAATGTTTTTAAAAACACTCCATTCACTGCTAGTACTTTCAAAAGAAATATTTTAAATTTGTAAAATGAAAAGTTTATATAGTCCATACTCACAATTAAGATTGGTACCAAAATGTTTCCAAAGCAATCATCATATGAAAGGAAAAGGAATTAGAGCAGAAAATAACAAAAGTGACATTTTTAAACCATCACAGTTATTTTCTATCTCTTATTGGGTGTTTGTCATCTTGTAAACATTGTGCTAAGCAATTTATATAAGCAATAAAAGAGGAACGATTATTATCCCTATTTTACGAATAAGGAAATTGAGAATTAGAGCAAACAATCAAAGCCAGGAGCCAAATCTAACTTCTGTAGGATTCCAGAGCTGCACTTAACATTAAATTGACTTCCCAATAAGTAGTTAAGCCTTTCATTTTGAGCCATTACTTAGTGAAAAATAGACAAAAACATTTTTTTCTACTAATAGCATCTGATAATGAAACATTTCAAAATATAATTAGATGGAAAAGAAAAACAAAGACATTTCAAACTTCACTTTTTCCAGATTTTTAAGACGCAAATGTTTATTCTTACCCATGAATTCAATCCCCAAGTGGTCTGCTACACAGAAGTCAGCATGTGAGAAAGAGAAACAGAAAGAGAGACTGTGATTAGAAAAATTTTCACATGGAAATCAATGTATATAAAACTCTCATTTTAAAGGGGAAAAAAAGTGTCTATTTTATTTTTATTTTTTTAAATATATTTTATTGATTTTTAACAGAGATGAAGAGAGAGAGAGAGAGAGAGCTAGAAACATCGATGAGAGAGAAACATCGGCTTGCTGCCTAAAAAGTGTCAATTTTAACTGCATATTTTTGTGGGAAAGATAATTTACAATTGCCCATAATAAGGGATGCTCTGAACATGATTGGTATTTTTCCAAAGCCTGAAACTTTAGGTGCAATAATATTGCATCTGTTAGCAAGTATAAAGTTAGGCCTTAAGAAAGAAAGAAATGTTCACACGAAAAAATGTGGTACTAAATTGATTTTTAGAAATCATGGTATTTTATGTAAAACTAGAGGCTCAGTGCACAAAAATTCATGCACTTGGTGGTGGTGAGGGGGGTGTCCATCAGCTCAGCCTGTGCCCTCTTTAAGGAGGCGGAAAAGGCTCCCGCCACCCCTGCTGTGCTTGCAGCCTTCAGCCAGGTTTGTGGCTGAGCAGAGATCCCCCTGTGGGATGTACCGATCACCAGGGGACAGCTCCTGCATTGAGTGTCTGTCCCCTGGTGGTCAGTGTGCATCATAGCGACCCATTGTCTTGGTACTTCCACCATTAGAGTCAATTACCCTTTTATTATGTAGAATGACTACTTGTTCAACATATACTTATTGTACTCTCTGCTATGAATAAGTAGAGAACTTTTACATGATTAGCCTTCACCAGGTGCTAATCACCTTCACTAAAAAAGCATTAATGTTGTATTTTTTTCCTGTTATTTGTTAGATGATAAAACTGCACTTCAGCAAGATTAAAAATCTTACATTGGCCCCAAATGATGAGCTGATCTAGGGCACAAATCCAGCTGATCTGACCCTCAAGCCCTCTGACTGTTAAGCTCCACAACTTCCTACCAAAAATGAATGACCATGTGCCATGTACACGCGGACTTCCAATGGTTTTACCGGCTAATGTCTGTCTGTGATCAGCAGAGCGATAAACTGAGCCCAGCTCTGCTCAGGCATTCAGCCTTAAATGTCCGGTCATCTAGATGGTGCCTCACTTAATCATTCAATTATTCACTCATTCACTTTTTTATTTTATTTTTTAAAATTTCTTCTTGATTATGGTATTGGTATCACATAATTGTCCTCATCCTCCCATTCTCACCCCAAACCTCTCCCCACATACTCCCCCTCCCCACTGTTGCCTGTGACCACTGGAGTAGGCTTATATGCATGCACACAAGTCCTTTGGTTGATCTCCCACCCTTTCCTCCACCCTCCCCTACCTTCCCTCTGAGGTTTGACAGTCTGATTCATGCTTCCCTGTCTCCAGGTCTGTTTTTGTCCATCAGATTATGTTGTTCATTATTTCCCCTAGATGCATGAGATTATGTGATACAAGAAATACACTTATAAGAACCGAAAATGAGACAAGCCATAATGGTTATGCTGAGAGGCAAATGAATCAGTCTGTAGTGAGTTTCTTTCTGGGCCAACAGTTCTTTTGAGTACCAATTTCAATGTCAAACAGTTACTTATGTGTACATGTCAGAGATGATATGTATCTTATTTTATTTTATTATTTTATTTTATTTTTGTCTCTTCATAGCTTTGATTCCTTTCACTTCTCTCTCCATCTCTGTCCACTATCCAGGTGTCTGTTCCCCTCCAGGCCTCAGTCCTTCTCTCAGTCTTCCTCCACCCACCTTTGTTCCTTCCTCCAGGTGTGTCTCTCACTTCTCTATCTCAGCTTCTCATTCCCATATCCCTCTATAGGCTGCTATCAGCTCCCTTCCAAGCCCTTCCAGGCCCGGCATCCACATCTGTTGAAAAGTCTCCTTCCTGAGGACATCCTGATCTCATTTACCTCTCCCACCACCACCACCACCACCACCACCACCATCACTGCCGCTACCACCACCACCACCTTGCAGCTGCTGCCATGGCCTCAGTTTCCCCAGACTCCCTCTTATCTCAGTAAATATTGGAGGTTCTCACTGCACAGCCTGGTTACCATTCCACTCATTCACTTTTTAAATTCCTTTCATGAATGATGATTTCTGTTGCAGCAATATGTTACATAAATGAGAATAAATGAAAAGAGTATGGCTACATTGTATTTGTTCTAAGACTGATTACTGAGCTCCCTTTTATGAATTCTTTATTTAGCAAAGGAGTTTTTCCTTTTAGAAAATATGTACTTAGTTATCTTGAATAATTCAGTGCTTTTCCTATTTGTAAATAATTCATTTTTTAATTTCATTGTGGTAAAATATATATAGACTAAAAATTGTCATCTTAACCATTTTAAATGTACAGTACAATGTCATTAATTGCATTCACAATGTGGCAAACATAACCACTATATTTCCAAAACATTTCCATAACCCCATAGAGAAATTGTACCCACTGAGCAATTTCAATTTTTCCCTCTTTGCAGCCTCTGGTAATTTCTAATCTACTATTCTCTGTCTCTACAAATTTGCCTGTATATAGTTCATTTTTTTCATCTATTATTACTTATATTAACTGAGAATGACTCATATAAGGAAGATGGTAACAGGGTTTTATTTTTTTATTTTATTTTTTTAATATATTTTATTGATTTTTCACAGAGAGGAAGGGAGAGGGATAGAGAGCTAGAAACATCGATGAGAGAGAAACATCGACCAGCTGCTTTCTGCACACCCCTCACCAGGGATGTGCCCGCAACCAAGGTACATGCCTTTGACCTGACTCGAACCTAGGACCCTTCAGTCCGCAGACCAATGTTCTATCCACTGAGCCAAACAGGTCTTGGCAGTAACAGTTTTTCAAAAGTAGATATTATACTTTCTTTACATGTCTTTTGTTTTGACTGGTTAATATATACTGATAGATATTTAGCACACTTTCATGAAAAGAAACAATTTTTGTTCTCCAGTAATTCAAAAATCAGTGGGGGCACACAGAGAAAAGGTTCTGGTAATTCTCAGTAACTGTGCTATAGTAGAAAACAACAAAAACAAAAAAAAATGTATTTTAGATGAGGAGGCCAAGGATCCATAAACTTAGTCCCAGGATAAAGCTAAAGTATAATATTATGTGAAAGGATAGCGATTGTAGAAAAGTTGGCAAGCTTATGTTTGAGTTCTAATGAGAGAGAGAGAGAGAGAGAGAGAGAGAGAGAGAGAGAGAGACCACTGGTATTTTGTTTCACTTATTTATGCATTCATTACTTGATTCCTGTCTGTGCCCTGACTGGATCAAAACTATATCAGGATGACACTCTAATCAACTGAGCTACCCAGCCAGGGCCAAATCTGATGATATTTTGTTCTATTTTTTAAAAATGAAAGGCAGTGGGAGTATTAAGTAGACACACACACACACACACACACACACACACACACACACACATATTAAATTCAATAAAAAAATAAGAAGGACACAAACAGATACTTGTATAATAATATACACACCAGCATTAATTATAATAGTCCATAGTGGAAACAACATGTATGTCCATTACCCAATGAAAAGAGAAACAAAATGTGATATTATCCATATAATGGAAAGTTATTTGGCATAAAAATGTCTGACATGCTTATAAGGTTCTCCCTCCTCCCAATTGGTGGGCATAGTTATGACATTACTGGCATCTGTCATAGAGACATCTCCAAGACATTGAACCATGAATCAGCACGTGCCAAAGTGTCCTGGAGCCCACCCCTTCCTGTTCCACCCTGGGTCCAACCCTCTCCTGTTCCTCCCCTTAAAAAGACCCCCAGACCAGCCACGTGCTGCTGATCTTCCATATCCAGGCAGCAGCCAGGCTGGGTCCATCCCCCCTCCCAACTCTTTCAATTCTGATTTCTCTACCTCCGTAATGAGTCCCGCTCATTACTGGGGAATAAACTTTAAAACCTTGGTGGTCAGTTTCCTGCGCCTCAAACCTTACAATGCTGATATTTGCTACATGTCTGAACTTTGAAAGCATCATACTAAAAAGCTAGATGCATAAAAGAACACATGTAGTATAATTCCATTTATATGAAATGTCTAACAGAGGCAAATTTATAGACAAGAAAAGCACATTAATGGTTGTCAGTGGGACAGGAAGTGGGGGAAGGGACAAATGGAGAGGGACTGCTCAGTGGGGCAGGGTTTCTTTTTGGAGTGATGAAAATGTTCTGGGATTACATAATGATGATGGTTCCACAACTATGTGAGTATACTAAAGCCCCAAATTATGTACTTTAAAATGGTTATAACGGTGAATTTTATGTTAGTGAATTTTTGCTTCAATAAAAATATATATTAATCTGAATACAAACAAAGTTGCCATTGGAATTTTAATGGAGTTTGCATTAAATCTGCATATTGCTTTGAGTAAAATGACCAATTTTAATATGTTTATCCTTCCAATCCATAAATGTTGAATATCTTTCACATCTGTTTGATAGGAGAGAGGGAGAATCAAGCTCCTTGAGTCTGGAGATTGTACTAGGAAGTGGGTGGCATGGTTGATGAATTTGAGGGAAATCTCAATACTTTAAGATGGAAGAAATCAGAATTTGAAAATTAGTCAAATATTAAGAAGTATATGTAGAATTCTTAAGGGAAAAAGAAATCTATCTTCTTTTAACATAGTAGAAAACTTATATCTAATCAATATAATTATAGTGCTCAGAAATACTATCAAGTAAGATGGCATTTATATCCTTGGGTTTTTTTAAAAAGGAAGTTCTTAATTTTTATAATTACATTTGTGACACCAGTGCAATATACAAATAAAATGTTAGGTCTCAATTAAAATCTCTCTGTCTTTCTCGCATGTGCACACACACAGACATTTCCATACTTTTATCAAAATGCTAAATACAAATCCTTATTGCAGATTTAAAGATA